TGTGAAGATACACACTCGTGCAAGGGAAATGAGGAGAAATTGGGAAAGCTGCGGGTATTCTTAAATATTACCTGCTGCTAATCTCAGTAGGCCATCAGGGTGTTGRCGATCATGTTAAGTCTTTTGTGGCTGGAGAATAATTCTGTTCTGGTGTGTTTSGGGAGATGTTTTGGAGGAAAAAAAAACTTATTTGCAGGGATATTGGCCAAGTATTATTTTTCAGCATGGGCAGACTGGAGACTTCGGGTGTGAGGAGGCAGTTCAGCTGGGGAGAGAARCAAGCCTGTGTTTGGACTGAGTAAATTGAGAAAGTGTTCAGTGAAATGTTTGAGGTGATGAATCCAGTCCTGCTGACCAGGTGATCCCTTGGGGAGGGTGAAGGGCATTCTCAGGTTTGTAAACTGATGCCGTCTCCACCTGAACCAGTCACCAAAAGAGGGGAAGATGCTTTACAAATCCTTACATGTMCTGATGGGCAAAGCCATGATGAAATCTGATGGCAAACTTGTTTGCTGCTAAGGGTGTTTTTAGTTTCCTTGGTCCAGCCAGGTAAAGAATCTGATGGCACTTTCTTTTCATGTCAGAGTCATTCAGGCTTCATTTTTGTGAGAASTTGTGTGGGTCTTGCATGCAGAAGCACATCTGGGTCCCGCAGTTTCAGTGCAGCTGGGGACATTGCTAGCTGTCAGGTCTTTCAGCTSCAGAAAATTCGCTGGCATGCCTCATGCTGCTTGTATCCAACTTTATTTCCATTGTAACTATGGCAATGGGAGTAGACTGGTAAGAAAGTGTCAGAGTATGGGTTCTCATGCCTGTGTTGCAGAGGGTTGCTCCATGTACCCATAGAGCTGCCTCATCTTGTACACCTGTTTCAGTGATACAGATACATATATATATATATATATATGTGTGTGTGTGATCTATGTATGTACATGTCTGCAGAARAAAACAGAGTGCTTTCCTAGATGATATGAAGTAGTGGGGAGTCTGGAGCCAGGAGAGCAGCCGGATGAAGTTCTGGAGATTGCTCTTGTGTGAACCAAGAAGAGAGGGTCTTTAATCCCCCTGGATCTTCAAGATGTTAAATTTTAAGTACAGTAGACTTAAACCCAGACAGTCCTGAGGGTTACTTAGGGGAGAATATTGTATTGATTCAGGTCTAAGACTTTGTTCTAGTTTCTTTGAAAAACCCAGGTTTGGCCTGCTAAACATCAATTYTGTATTGTGGGGAGAAATGGAACAGTGATACATAGTGTCTGAGAGAATAAAAGATATGCATAAAAGAGAGGGAAAGATTTTTAACTTGCAATGCCTGAGATTTTAGATAAAGGTCTTCAGGTCAAAATTAAGTCAGTGTTGAAGCTTTTTCCCCTTCCTTCTTTTATGACAGTTCAGTTATAGAAAGCAGAACATTAGAGAAGAAAAAATAATTACATGCTTTAAAGGGTGTAGCCTTCAACAAATTTGTTAAGTTACCTTTCATTAAAGAGCATAAATCCAGTTTTCAAGAGCTCTGGAGCTTGTCTTGCAACTCTGCCAGGTTARAATCCTTCTTTTTTTTTTCCTCCTCCTCCTCCTGTTCCTAACTAATCTGCAAGCAATTGCTTTTTTAAAAATTATTTTTCTCTTGAATTTAAAGACTTTGACAGATGGCACATGTAGAACCTGGAAAACTTCCTGAATTGGCAGAGTGACCATACCCCTGCCATTTTCCTACCACAGTATCTGTAGGTGCGTAGGCTGTGTCTGCTTCCAGAGTGCTGGGCGAGATACCGTTTCGTCTGCTGGGAATGTGCAGAGAGCAAGTGATAAATCAGAAAAACATACCTGGTGATGGGCTTAATTTGCARTTAATAGACAACTTAATCTGCTGGTTAGCTGAGTAATTTGATTGTGACTTAAACAACCCATTCAGAACAGYGACAACCTCCAGGGTGCTTACCTGCAGTGTTTTCCATCCAGGAATAATATCAATCTTTTAGATGGTGTGAGTTCGTTTAACACTTTTGAGAGACTGAGACATCAAAGCTAGATTCCCCACAATAGACCATTCTTTATTCTAGAGAATGTCATACCAAAAATTAGTCTCATGACCTTTGAAGCTTGGTCTATCATGACTGTCCTTCTTTCAGGGCCTCTGTCCAAGGCAGAGCTCTGAAGCCAATAAAAGCACATGAAATTGCTCAGTTCTGAATGTGCACAGGCTGTCTGGCTCCATGTTGCATGACAGTGGTTCTCACTGCTGAATGTCCTGAGTTTTGTAACAGTGATCAACTACATAGCTTGTTTTCTATTTACAATCCTTTGGAATTTCCCTCCCCCATCTAAGGCATTTCAGGAGAAGGGCAATAACTTGGCACTTGGAGTATGTCTGTGATTTGTGCTGTGTAACGTGTGTGGAAGGAACATGTATGTCTGTATGCAGCTGCAGTCTCTGAAGAGAAGTGACTGCTAAAAATCATGTTTAAAGAAAACAGCGCAGGAAAAATTAATTTATTTTTTTTTCTTTTTAAGTCTTCATATTTGCCTGCTGAGCACATGAATTGATGTAGAGTTCTACCCTTATGAAATCTGTTACTTGTTGATTTGGTACAAAGGGCCTTAGGTCTTAAAGGTGAGAGAATTCTTTTCATATTCCTAGGGTTGGACTAGTTTAGTAAACTGTTTTTAGACAGACAAAAGAGATGAGATCTTAAATCAGTGTTAATGTGGGACTGACCAGGAATGATATCATCTAGAGATTATTGCTTTCCTCTGTTTCTGCAGTGTTAACAAATGAATGCTCAAGAATGTAGCAGCAAAGCAAATGGTTCTTGATAAATTATGCAGTCTTGACTCCAGCTATTGTTTGAGGTAATTTATGATCTTCCATTGGTGTAATGGGGCTGTGGCATAAACTGCAGCACGCCCTGGAGTAGACAAATTGGTCTGGTATTGTTTAGGAACATACTTAATCTATCTTGCTATGAGTGAATTGGAGCCTTTTATTGAAACATCARAAGTCCAGTATTTTGATATTAAGTCCTTAATAACCTACCATTAAATCTGCAGCACTTGTGCCTTTTCCTGTTTCTAAATACTGAAGTGATAATAAACATAAAACTGTTGCTGTGTAAAGCTCAATTCTTTTCCCTTACCCCTTTATGTGAACTTCCTTTAGTCTTGGCAGGTTTAGAGGCTAATAATACAGTTCTCTTTATTCTTGATGCATTTTACTAATTCCATAATAGCTATTCCAGKGGCTTGCTTAATTTCTCTGTAGCTGTGCTTACAGAAAATGGTACTCCTCCAAGTGAAAAGGTTTTTAAGAGCTTTTGTTAAATCTGTGCTTAATTATCTAAGARCAAACTGGGTGATTAAAGTGAAATCTTCAGATCAATCTTTAAAACTGACTGCAAATTTTTAGGTGCAGAGAAGTAGTTAGATGGCTGTAGACCACTGTTTATATGTTTAAAGACTAGCAGTAGTGCAAGTCGAGTAATGTGCCTACAGAATTCAGTGTCTGATATGGCCTCCCCCCCCACTTTGAATCGTGTAAGATTTTGGGKTTAAGTTCTTTTTCCATAGTATTTACTTACCTAGAATAAACAACTTGATTTATGCATATTTAGTTAAATAGATTTTCAGACTTGCAGTTGCCAAAACYAGTTTTCTCCCGAGGTAATTGGCTGTATGAATTGATCACAGAAAACTGCAGRAGCCCAGTAACTTACTTCCTGGAAAGAAGTTCCCAGGAGTTTGCCTGCCTTGCTGATAGAGGAGGAGGCTACCATGCCTCAGCAAAACTTAACCTGGAACTAAGTAAAATAAAGCTTCCTTGATGAGTGCATGGTTTGTGGACCATAGGCTGCAAGTCCTCTGGGAACAGTTTTTCCAAGTTGTTTTTTACCCTTGTCCCTGATGTAACTGWCCCATAAATTTTGCTGGCAGCTTTGGTTTGGTGAGAGTTCAYGCTTACCTGTGAGCAGTGGGTAGCCTGTTTAAAACTCAAGCTTTTATTTTGAATACATGATTAATAATTAACAGTGAACAAGACAGGAGCTTTCTTGTGGTAGAAGTGAAAGTTTTGGCTGTGCTTTGAAGCTTGCTTTCTCTGCCCCAGTCACCCTTTTGTATCTACTTGGAGATGGCATTGCTTGTCTTGCACTGCAGGGATGTCTCCACATTGGTCGGAAGAAATGCTGGATCTGCAAATATTGTTTTATTTATTTATTTATTTAGGGTTATTTTTTGTTTCCTTTGTTATGAGGCAGCAGTTTTAATGGCTTTCTTGACATTGTCTTGCCTTSTTACTTTTAGTTCTTTAGCCATCTGTACCTCTAAATGCCTGCAGATTTCTTTTCAAACTCTGTCTTATCACAAAGTGATGCTTTAAAGAAATGCAGCTCACCTTGCAAAGTCRCTGCTAACAATGACTCAGAAGAGCAAGTGCAAGACTTGAATGAATTTGTGTGTGACACTCTGTTTGATGTATCATGTGAGAATAAAACCAAGGGAGAAAAGGCAGGCAGGAAAGGGTAAAGGTTAGAAGTTGTGTAACCAGGCATTGAGGGCTAATGCTGCATAATGATCTTGGTGATCTTAMGGGTCTTTTCCAACTTAAATGATTCTGTGATAAGTGACTGTCATCTTAATCTTAATTCACTCACAGATTTCAGTGGATTTTTTCCACAAWTGAAAACAACCTCAGCTGGTGAGAGCCAGTTTTCAAATGGCTATGGTTTTGCTGTGAAGAGAGGCTTTCATTTTTGCCTGAAGAGGAGAAATAAAGGAGCAGCCACAYGGCCTGAGAATAGTTTTGTTGGCTTTTAAATGAAATATCAAATTAAACGTGTTTTCTGGGCTACAGGCAGCGAATGTGTACATTTTCTACTTCAAGTTGATGCAAATCCTCATCACCTCATCTTGATCTTCTCCGTCTTCCTCCTCCAACTGTTTTCAATAATAAGTTGATGAAATGTCTTCAGTATGGTTTCTGACAGTTTGTTTGTACTCTGCAGGTCCTGGGAAGCAGTAGATGTAATTTGAAGAAAATTTGAAGGAACAAATGGCTTTAGCTGGCTGCCCAGACTCCTTTTTACATCTTCCTTATCGGATAGTAAGTTGTGAAACTGCATGTTCCTGTCAGCTTGTAGCATCATATTGCTGTGTGCCGATGATTGATTGTGCATTCAGACTTTTCATCAAACTGCTAATAGCTGTCTGGCAATTCTCTGGGTTTTGCTAACATTTGGAAACAGAGCCTCTGTTACCATCCTGTATTCTAGTTCTGCTGCTGAAAAAAATTGGGTCAATAATGTATATTGGTTAAGATTTGATATTTGTCTTTAAAATAGCCTTTGCCTATTTGGGAGAAGGCACTTGTTTCCAAAGAAAAGGTGGCAAGCTGAAATACCAGTGAAATGCCTTGCACCAAAATATATCAATGTTTGCTGAATGCTATATTTGYGGGAACAAAGACAGAGATTTTTACACTTGGTTAGATCCTATGCTTTTTGAGTCATTGTGCTGTATCTAAGCAGCCAATATGGCATATCACAAAGAGTATATTTAAAAAAAAAMCTTATCTAAATTCAAAGCTACTTGGCAAAAATGCATGTAAAAGTTCTCTTCTTTCCCTGGGCAGTTTTAGTTGGCATAATGCWTGCTTTGTATTTTTTATGAAACTTCAAATTGCTAGTTTGGATATGATCTTTTCTTTGCACTTTTTATCTTCTGTTTTCATAATATGATTACCACCCTGAGGATTCMGTTATGATTTTGGATCCTGCAGATACACAAATAATTAAACAAYGTCATGTGACATTTAAACCTTTTCCCTTTATCCCATGAGAARCATTGCTAGTAGTGATTACTACAGTCATGCTACTCATTTGGAAGAAAAGCAAAAAAACAAACAAGAACAACAGCAGAATTTAAAAAAATATCTCTTTAGGATTTTTACATGTTTTGTAATATGTCAGCTTACAATTTTTTTCCCCCAACAGGAAACCTCAAATTAGTTAAAAGTCTAATGTTAGTATATGCTGAGTTGTCAGCTGAATGTACCTGAATGCTTTTCCTGATAACAGGAAAAACACAACAGTTCTTTTATAGCTTCCTTTACAGCTATAAAAATAGACTGGACTTTGAGAAATTGGATGTCCTGAAAATCTGTTACTATACTTGGATCTATGATTTTAAAAGAGTATGTGAATAGATGTGCCTGGACTTCATAATTTTGATGCACTGTGAAATTATGCTTCCAATTCATTTAGAGCATCATCTGAGTCATGATGCGAARCTGAGGGGAAGGAGAGCTATGTAAGAGAATCTTGACATTCTAGGCAGTCATTTTTGAGCTGCAAGTTCTTCGACTGAGTGTCAATCTTTCCTGTGAAAATAGTGTCTTTAGTGGTTCACAGGAAGTAGGAATGCGAATTTTCATTGGTACTTCCCTTGCTCTGGCAAACCCTGTAGATAATCTGCTTTAGTCTGGGGCAGTCAGCAGACTGGAAGTGTCAGAGCAACATGGGGTGATTTAAGATGGTGGGAAAGTGACTCAGTTATTTTTGGTCAAAGCTTACTGTGTATTAACTACCCTAAGTGCTTATAACCAGTTTGAAGACTAGCTGTGGTAGCCCATTCACAGCTACTGTGCCTTCTGTCAGAACTGAAGTTTGCATTAAAAAAACCCTGAACATCTGTTTTTCCACCCCTACTAAATCTGACTTAGGAGCTTTCATCAACTTGTCTTTCAAATTTGGCTGCAGTGAAAGCATTTTGTCGGTAAAGGGCTGAAAGAAGGTTAAACTAAATATGCTCTAGATTAGAGTGTAAAGAAGTATTCTATTTTTTCAGCGCMTTTTCTTACTTAATGTGAATGAAGGGCTGTGAAGGACACTGCTCCAGAGATCCCAAGATTGGGACCTTAATGCACTAAATTCAGTAGTAGAATAAATTGACACGTTGGAGTTTGGTATTATATTCAGGGCAAGAAGAATGAGAACCTGCAAAGGTGAGTATGCACTACAGAATATCCTTTAGGATGTCTCGCTGCCAGTACACCTTTTCTTCTTTTTYTGATTGGTTTTGGAGAGATGGGCAAGGTATAGGTCTTTGACTTTCTTACTGGGCTCTTTGTTTGCAAGGTTGGCTGCTTTCAGAAGCTTTCAAGTCTCGTTTAAGAGCCTTTTTTTTCTTTAACTTTCTCAGGAGTTAGTACATGAACCAGTCACACTGAGTGCATTCTCCTAGAAACAGCCTTTAGCTCTGTTAAAAAAAATAAAAAAATCAATACTATCTTTCAGTGGCTTTCAGGAGTCCTTTCCAAATTCTTGAACTCTTCAATAAAAATCCGGCAGTGAGAATTGGCAGTGTTTGTCTTCTGTTCCTGGAAATTCAGAACATAGTCCCAGAATTTCTCAGAAAAAAATGGGATGATTTACTGTGTTTCCGTTCTTTTGCAATCTGTAGTCACAACAGTATTTATATGCAGTGACTTGAACTCTTGGGGAATATTTAGTTCTTTAACCCTTTGCATTTATTGTGGAAGTGTCAGTGACATAAATAACAAAAAAGACAGGGTTTTTTTTTCTCGATTTATGAAGATAAAATTTTGCACATGTGGGAGTGTTCTGTTCATCTTCCACTTTCTGCTTTCTGTTTGTTTTCTCATGACCAAAATGCAGGTATGACTTCAGTAATAATTAATAAAATTTGGTTTTAGTTAGCTGAATTTTTATTTGAGAAAGGACTTATAACTTGGTATAAAATGAACTACAAGCACTTGGCCACAAAACAGGGAGAAAATAGAAATTGCTTTCTCTTATGTGTACAGAGCTGTGGATTTCAGGATTGCTAATAATCCCCTTGATCAGATAAGAGTGCAGAATATTGCACATCATACTTGAGAAGCTTTGTGCACTTCAAGAGTAGGAATTAAATACCTAAGGGAATTAATCAGAGGCTAGCTACTGTAATGAAAGCCTCTTTCAATGATGTCAGATTTGTGGATGTGAAGGTGATGTACTGTTAATACTACAGTTGCAATGGTGACATTCCTCTGCCTTCAGAGCAGCAGTGAGCAGAGGTTCTCYAGGTTTTAATATGGCAGCTTTGAGCCTTGTTTTCCATAAAATGATGCAGTAAGTTAGAAGACACCTTTGGAGGTAATTTCATCCCAGTCCATGGCATATTGAGGTTATGCTTGTTTTCCTTGAGTTCTTCATCTTGGTGAGTGTGGTTTTTAAGGAAACTCGTTTTTTTTTTTTTTTTT